TTTAGATAGATGACAGGTATAGTATCAGAGCAAAGAATGGGAGTTTCAAATCAGGTGAAATGGGTCCAAACCAGCTGTAACTCTTTACAACTTTGTTCACCCTGGGGAAACTGCTGAACCTTCCTATCAGTTACTTTATCTGTAAAATGGGGATATGCTGTTCAAGACCTTGGGCACTTCCCCCAAGTGAAATTCAAAACTGGCCCCGATCAAACATGGAGGGCAGGGAGAGACCAAAGAAAGAGGCAGGCCCCTCCAGACAGGTAGGTGGCAGGTTTAGTAAACAAGGGAACTTCCAGATAAGGCTTGTCTTGGGTGGCTGCAAGATAAATAGATCTGCACACCTACCTGCCAGAATCTTAAATATTTATAGAGAGGTCTCAACAGCGTTCAGCCACATGTACTGTCCAGATGGTCCCAACCACACATTGCTCTCTCAAAGCCATGCCCTTGGAACAGCTCCCACTGTGGGAACACCAGTACCTTTCAAAGACAGGAGTGAGGCATCTCCGATTGCCCGGGTCCAGCTATTGGATCAGCTGGTGGTCTCCTCTTCTCTCTGACCTCCTCCTAAAAGCTAATAGTAACGTCATCTTCAGGCTGTTGGGAAGGTTAAATGAGATAATTTATATAATGCATTTAGCACAGTGCTTGGTATGTCGTAAGCCCTCAATCAACGCTGAATGGTTGTCATAATGGAATGTAAGTGGATGGCGTCCGAGAACACTGGAGATTACTCCAAGCTTGCCCTCAGTTTTTCCTTGTGTCCATTTCCTTATAAATTCAAAAAAACATTTGTGTATATATACCTCCTTCCTGCTCATGGGAATGTGTGGGGTATGGCTTTTGGACCCTTGAAAACCACCTAGTATTTTCTCCTATGGGAAAGCTCCTGAGCAATTGTTCTCATGTGCTCTCATTTTTCCACTTACCAGCATTTTTTGTTTTTCTCTGTTTTTTATTTTACCCGGTTGGAAAATGTAGAGTGACATTTCAGTGTGGTTAGATATATAAAATATTGCTTCCTGCAAAATTGTAATTAATTGAAGGAGACACAAAGACAAGGTGCTTTCTGAAAAAGCATAGAGCTTTTTAAAAGCATGGTTGATGGCCATTGGGGCCATTTCTAGATAAGTTTGAATGTGCCTTAAATGATGGTCAAGATTTTGGACAGGGAAAACGGTGGGGAGAGAGGGTGGCGCAGTAGGGAGGAAATGCTGTGAGAAGTTACAGCCCTGGCAAAAGCAGAGAGGTAGAAAGAAATGTGCTCTGAGTAGGAGATTGGAACTGAGTGGAAAGCTCAAGCAACAATCTTTCTATAAGCCCAGGGGAGATGACTATTATCTAAAAGTCCAAGGGTGCGTACTGACCAGCTAAGAGATCATTAAACTGGCCAGTGTTTCAGGTTTAATCAGCAGTGTGGAGACTGAAATAATATAGATGGCTGGCAATCTACATAGTAGATTATTGGGAAGGGTTTTTTTTGTATTTTAATTTTTTGTGGTTTTCATTTGTGCTTTTCTTTTTTAATTGAAATGCAGATGATATTATATTGGTCTCAGGTGTATTGGGAAAGGTGCGTGTTACTTTCATCTGATTAAATATGCTGATTTTATTGTTTCAATATTGTTTAGTTTGGGCGTTATTTCTTTTTTCTTATTACAGACATAAAGCATGCACTTTATAAAAATTCAAACTCACCTGAAATATAAAAATTAAAAGTGAAAAGTGACTGCAATCTGCTCCCCACCCCTATTTGTTCATTTGATAAATAGGTATTGAGTGCTTTATAAGTATCAGGCAGTGCCAGGTCTAGTGGCTGTGGATATGGTGCTGAGAAAGTCAGACAAGGTTCCTGCCCACATGATGCTTTTATTCAGGGAAACAGGACATGGGCTGGGAATTGGAGGTGTCAGATAACATAAGCAAACAAATAACGTAGTTCAACTAATGATAAGTATTACATGCACATTAATACAGGAAGGATATTTCCCCACCAGTGGTCAGGAAATGATTCTGTAAGGAGGTGACATTTTGTCACATAAATATCAGGGATCAAAAGCAAAGACCCTTAGTGTGTCCGAGGAAGAGACAGAAGGCCAGGGTGGCTGGAACCCAGAGTGTCAGGAGAGAGAGTGAAGATGAATCAGAGACTGATAAGCCTTTGTAGGTCATGGTCACAAAAAAAAAAAAAAGTATGGATTTTGTTCCCATGGCAGGAGAAGCTGCTGAAGAGTATTAAGCAGGAGACTAACATGAGCTGTTTTTGTTTTTAAAAGGTCACACGAGCTACTGGATGGAGAGTAAGAGCATAAGGGACAAGTGATGAT